ATTTCTTTGCTGCCACATCATTTTCTTTCCATTCATTCCTGTCTTTCAAAATGTTTTGTCAAGTGGAATTAAAATTTATTTTGAAATGTAATAAATAATTTGAAAGGTACATTCTTTTTAAAATTTATCTTTATTGTTGAGAATGGTGCAGTCTTCTTTACTTTTTTAGCTTAATAATTTTAAAATTACATGTTACTACAGAATTCTCTCTTTTTACTTACATGCTTAAACAGAATACTGCTTATCTGCATTTGATACATTGAAACACTGTAGCTTTCTTGATAAAACCCAAAATTTGAACATTCTTTAGCATAAACTTTAATTTCTGGTTACAATGATCCAGGGGTTAGCATTCAAGTTCTATATAGGCAGTGTATGTAATGGCAGCATAATCAGATAAGATTAAAAATTAAGAGGTTTTCTGTAGTGAAAAGCATTCCCATGTAGGTGGGATTATGATTTTTCTCTCCAGGCTCAGTGAATTTTATGGACTTAATCAGACTAGCAATCCATTTTGACCAAAACATTCTATAAATGATTAAAGATTTTTCTTTCGTTATTTTACTTTGGCCCGTTAAAATAAATGACTTAGGGGAAATTAACCAAAAACGTAATATTGCATCCTTTCTTTGTACAATATTATATTTAACCAGAAACTTAGTTCTTAACACCAATACTATTCAGGTAACTTCTATTTACTTTCAACATGAAAGGCTAAAAGTTTCCTTTGGGAAAAGGGCAGAACTAAGTGTGGCAGTGCAGATGTGTCTTGGTATATTCTTCACTACTACAGATGTCTCGAGATATGACATTATGGAAAGAGTGTCAAATGGGTCTCAATTTACTGCCTCTCAGCAGTAGAATATTGGAAGGAAAAATAATTCTCTATTCTCTGCTTTCTATTGGCAAGTAAAAATATTAATTTTAACCACTGAAAATTTTAAGTTATTATTTCATATACACAGACTAGGAAGGCTTAATAGCCATATTACTATACATGGAAAAAGCACAATACATAATACAAAATAAAAGTCAGTATAATATAGTCTAATGGAAAATGTACTTAGAAAAATACAGGGAAAATGTATCCTTCAGGGAAGCTGAAAAATAACATTTCTATTAAAAAAGTAAGCTTAAATTATGTCTGTTCCCACTCACTGCCTCGATCTAAGATGACAAACAAAATTCTCATGCACAGGGTAGATACCTAGACTTTTATTCTTATGTAATAATTTCAGGTCATTCCAGATGTATTTTGTAAGAAATGAAATGGATAATTTCAGCATCCGATTATCGATTCAAATGAAGAAAATAATAAATGTAAGGATATTCAAAGATATATATACACATATGTATGTGTTATATATGTATGTAACTTAGAAGGAACCCTTTGAATATATTCACTTCATTGAACCTTAAAAAGTTATTAAGTGGTTTAATATTCTTCTCAAAAGTAAATTTGCAGCCACATATTTTTAAAAATATATTTTTATTGATTTCAGAGAGGAAGGGAGAGGAAGAGAGATAGAAACATCAATGATGAGAGAGAATCATTGATCAGCTGACTCCTGCACGCCCCACATTGGGCATGTGCCCTGACCAGGAATTGAACTGTGATGTCCTAGGTTCATAGGCCAACATTTGACCACTGAGCCACGCTGGCCAGGCACAGCCATGCATTTTTTAAGCAACTAAGATAAAACTCAATCTTTTAGTTCTAGAGAAATTTGGGAGAAAATGATCCCAATTATTCCTTCCTCACATACATCCTTTGATCGTGTTTCTCAAGTTACAGTACTGCAGACATCCATGTGAAGCTTGAATAATTAGAGAAAAATCAGACCCAACTTACACACTGTGTTTTACATTCTTCTCAGTTCCATCTACTCTTTCATTTTTGATCAAATTATTACCTTGTTAGGAAACATAAATTATGAAGCAAGGTTTTGCTCTGTTAAATCTGTATAGACTGGTTAGCCACATGGATACAAACTGTACTAGTCCTCACACCAGGTATCTCATGAAGGAGAGCGGATAGCCACAAGAAGGACAAATGGGGCGGAAAGATGAGTACCTCATTGTGCCTATCTTGGTATATGAAGGAAAGCATTTTGTTTCCATTTTAGCAGCAGGATTAAAGATGAATGTATAGCTGCCTTAAATCAAAGAGGCAAAGGGCCTGATTTATGTATGCTCTGATGATTAATAAGCTAACAGCAAAATGAAGAAGCAGGCCACTCACCTGTGTCAAGAGACATTACACCTATGCTACTTAGTATGATAAAAATTGACTTTGATTTTTTTTCAATATATTATGGTACAGTAAGTACATGACCAAATGTTCGTTCTGAACAGTGTCGCCAAATGTCTCTTGGTCACCTAACTTGATTTCCTTATTAACCACTCTAAACATTGTATCTAGACCCACAAATCTGTAGTGCAAAACCTTCCCACATTTTGCCACCTTATAATATAGAGAAGAGGAGTCCTTAGTGGGGGGAAATCATCACAACATCAGTATTGGTAAATTATGAACGGATCCTGTGAGAAGGCAGAGGGGGAAGGAGGTAGAACATATTTACTAAAGAAAGAAGGAAAGGATGAGCACAAGGTGAAAGGCTACATAAAGGGTATTGTAAGGCAGGTATTTTGTTATTTATGTGTGTTAGTCTTCTGTATAATGTATCTTCATTTCCTTTGACACATTATATATTTCTGGTCCTAATCTTATTTTTGTAAAATGTCACTAGAATATTCAGAACCTATTGTATAAAATTATAATTTATATTTTATTATACTCAATGAATTGTTATATATAACAATAGTAACACTTCTTATATATGTATAGCTTCCTTACGTTGTTATGTTTTATGATATATGCAGACACAAAATAAAGAATATAAATTACACCATCAAACTTTAATTATGAAAGATCATTTTCTTGCCCTTTTATTGAAAAGGAGCTTAGATACTCCACCCATGTGCTTATGGTGTTTACAGTGATTTAGTGAAACTTGGGAAAGAAGACAAGGAAAGACATAGAAAGTATATTGGACTCAAAAAAATATGCTCTTGCTTTCTGTGGAATGCAAGGATATAGAAATGCCCCTCCACTGTGACCATCCAGAAAGCGTTTATTGGGAGACTGTTTTGTAATGCTTGCCTCTTCTATGTGCAGCTCTGAAGAGAAAGGAGCCGCAGGTGGTTGGGGACTCATTAGCCACTAGCACAGTCTCATAACTGCAGACAAGTAACCCTTCTCTGCACAGACATCTGAAATGGTCCAGATAAACTAACTATTGATCAGTCAAAGAGTCGGCATTGCTTTTTGGACTAATGGTGCGAAAAATATGTCAGACTGTCTTTTTTAATTAGTCATATTCTAAATTCAGCAAAAGTATTTTACTCTATGATAGGTTCAAGATACATATCTAACCATACAGAGTAAAGATAGGTAGTAAGATGAAAATGGATGTAAAATTAATATCAAGCCAACAATTTTTATATTTGAGAACTTTATAGATAAAAAGAGGACGAGGAGAAGCAGTCAGAGAAGGAGAAGGAGAAAAAGAAGGAAGAAAGGCAGGAGGGAAGGAAGGCAGGAAAGAAGAAAGATGTTTTTGCATGTTTGTCGTTTGTTACCTGACCTGACACCTGTTCATTTTGGCTGTAGATAGGTTGGAGGAGCCCATGACTACACACCCACTAAAATATTGAGATGGTTAGTTCAAGATACACACTTAGTGGAATCCAGGGTGACTCCATAGGCCAGCGTCAAATAGAGCATGTCTTGTGCAGCTCTTCACCTTCCTCCTTCCTTTCCTAGGGCTGTTTTTTTGTTGTTGTTGTTTGATTGTTTGTTTTTTATGTTCTCCTCTGAACATGGAAACTAACTGGATCAGCTGGGTTTCATTTTGCTCATAGTTGGTTTTTTTGTTGTGTTGTTTTGTGTGTTATTTTTCATTTAGACTTATGCACAAAGTCTTTATGTTTAACATTTTTTTTTTATTTAAGGCTTCTGATTCTTGAATCAAATTGTTATCCTTGTCTTAGCAAATAAAATAAGTAGTTCAAACCTATGATTTGTCTACTCTGTGTCCCAGCTCCCTGAAAAGCCCATATGTCCATTCATACAGTTAGTTGTTGTGCTGGTTGAAGGAAGCTGACTTTGAAATACCATAGAGGTAAAAATACAAGTATTTTCAAAGTCAGAAGACATTTATAAGAGATATTTGATAAATATCTTTGAGGTGGGATACTGAAGATAAATGTGATTCACAACTCTACAAAAATAATAGCTATTTCTCTTTTACTGAAGCTATGAGCCAGACCAATTACTTTTTCAAAGTTTACAATTTCTAAACAGTCACATTTTATAGCATTATAATATTAACTGTGATGCCAATTAAATACAGTGTTTTACATTTTTTAAAAAATACAGCCTTGTTTGAATATCTCTCAGAAAAAAAAAATAACATTCTTTGTGGTCGGTGGGGCAAATATCATTATGGCATCAGATGATATATGCTTACTTTTGTTAAGTCAATTTTCCAACATCCCGTAAGTCTTATAGCCACATGAAGGCCCGTCCTCTGATTCTTCCTTTCTTTGCCTGTCCTCATAATCCAAAAGTATTAATTATGTCAGTGGAAATATATCATTAAAATTTTTCTTTAATAATTTGAATTATATCCCAAAGTAAATATGCTGAGAAAGAAAATCATGTTTTTGAAGGAAAATGATATTGAAATGTAGAAGGATAGAGCACTAGTGGACTAAAAGTGTCATTTCAAATTGACATTTAATCAAATGAAAACTAATCTTAATCAATATGTATTAACTATTTTCTTTTTTCCCCCATGCAAAGATTTATTTAAAACAGTTGAAAAAGTTTCATATACTTTTTTTCTCTGTTCATAATAGTTATTTGGAAGTAATGGAGAGGCCATTTTATTAGTTTAATCATGTTAAGTTTTCCTGTATCTTTTCCTCCCTGCTAGGAAAAGGAAGATGACAAATCAGACACGTCAAGTTCTCAACAGCCGAAAAGCCCACAAGGTCTAAGTGACACAGGATATTCTTCTGATGGCATATCAGGTTCACTTGGTGAAATCCCAAGTCTTATTCCAAGTGATGAAAAGGATTTGCTCAAGGGACTCAAAAAGGACTCATTTTCACAAGAAAGCAGCCCTTCCAGCCCCTCAGACTTGGCTAAGTTAGAAAGTACAGTCCTCTCCATTTTGGAAGCGCAGGCAAGTACACTTATTGAAGAAAAGTCAGAAAAGAAAACACAACCCCAAGAGGTTTCTCCTGAGCAGCCTAAGGAGGAGCAGAAAACTCAGAGTTTAACTCAAACACTAGAAACTACAGTTTCAGAAGAGAAGCTCAAAGAGAGTCAAGAAGCAAAAGATACTTTTACAAAAGATGGCCAACAAGACACTCCTCCCAGAAAGGACCACAAAGAAAAGTCTGACTTTGTTGATGACATAGCTACAAGAAGACAGCCTTATGATTCAGTTGAAGACAGTAGTGAAAGTGAAAACTCACCTGTTCCACAAAGAAAGCGGAGAACTAGTGTCGGTTCATCAAGTAGTGATGAGTATAAACAGGAAGATAGCCAAGGATCAGGTGAAGAGGAGGACTTTATTAGAAAGCAAATCAGAGAAATGAGTGCTGATGAAGACGCTTCAGGTTCTGAGGACGATGAGTTCATTAGGAACCAGCTCAAACAGATCAGTGGTATTATTGAGAGCCAGAAGAAGGAAGAAACAAAAGGAAAAGGGAAAGTAACAGCAGGGAAACACAAGCGACTGACTCGAAAAAGTAGCACAAGCTTTGAGGAAGATGCAGGGAGGCGCCATTCATGGCATGATGAAGATGATGAGACATTTGACGAAAGTCCTGACATTAAATACAGAGAAACTAAAAGTCAGGAGAGTGAAGAACTTGTAATTGCTGGAGGAGGAGGGCTGCGTCGATTTAAAACAATTGAACTCAATAGCACAATAGCAGATAAGTATTCTGCAGAGTCATCACAGAAAAAAACAGCTTTGTATTTTGATGAAGAGCCAGAATTAGAAATGGAAAGCCTGACAGACTCTCCAGAAGATAGGTCAAGGGGGGAAGGATCTTCTAGTCTTCATGCTTCTAGCTTCACTCCTGGCACATCCCCTACATCAGTGTCATCGCTGGATGAGGACAGTGACAGTAGCCCAAGTCACAAAAAAGGGGAGAGCAAGCAGCAACGCAAAGCTAGGCACAGGTCACATGGTCCTCTTTTACCAACTATTGAAGATTCTTCAGAGGAAGAAGAATTGAGAGAGGAAGAAGAATTATTGAAGGAACAAGAAAAGCAGCGGGAATTAGAACAGCAACAAAGAAAAAGTTCTAGTAAAAAATCAAAGAAAGACAAAGATGAACTTCGAGCTCAGAGAAGGAGAGAAAGACCAAAGACACCACCCAGTAATCTCTCTCCTATTGAAGATGCATCTCCAACAGAAGAATTACGTCAGGCTGCAGAAATGGAGGAGCTCCATCGATCTTCTTGTTCTGAATACTCACCTAGCATAGAGTCAGATCCAGAGGGTTTTGAAATAAGCCCAGAAAAAATAATTGAAGTGCAAAAAGTTTATAAATTGCCCACAGCTGTGTCTCTATACTCACCAACAGATGAGCATTCTGTTATGCAGAAAGAAGGTGGCCAAAAGGCATTAAAAAGTGCTGAGGAGATGTATGAAGAAATGATGCATAAAACCCAAAAATACAAAGCTTTTCCAGCTGCAAATGAACGAGAGGAAATGTTTGAAAAGGAGCCTTTGTATGGTGGGATGCTAATAGAGGATTACATTTATGAGTCTTTAGTAGAGGACACATACAATGGTTCAGTCGATGACAGTCTGCTAACAAGGCAAGAAGATGAAAATGGATTTATGCAGCAGAGAGGGAGAGATCAAAAAACAAGACTTCCAGAACATATTTATGATGATCCTATGCAGAAAATTACAGACCTCCAGAAAGAGTTTTATGAGTTAGAAAGCTTACATTCTGTTGTGCCTCAAGAAGATGTTGTTTCAAGTTCTTATATCATCCCAGAAAGCCACGAGATAGTAGATCTGGATAGTATGGTAACTTCTACCAGTGAAGAAAAAAAGTTACTAGATGCTGATGCTGCCTATGAAGAACTCATGAAGAGGCAACAGATGCAGTTAACACCGGAATCCAGTCCAACCCAGCCCCCCATCAGGGACGACCTGACAGAGTCCACTATGGACTTTGATAGGTTGCCTGATGAATCTTTGACATCAAGTATTCTTTCAGGAGCATCTCTTACAGATTCAACCAGCAGTGCAACACTCTCTATTCCAGATGTCAAAATAACCCAACATTTTTCAACAGAGGAGATTGAAGATGAATATATAACTGATTACACAAGAGAAATTCAAGAGATAATTGCCCATGAATCACTGATTTTGACCTACTCTGAGCCTTCAGAAAGTGCTACTTCTGTCCCACCCTCTGACACACCTTCCCTCACATCATCTGTTTCTTCGGTTTGTACCACAGATAGCTCCTCACCCATTACTACTCTGGATAGCATAACTACAGTTTATACAGAGCCAGTAGACATAGTAACTAAATTAGAAGATCCTGGGGATATTTCTTCATCAACATATTTTCAAGGCAGCATCATAGACTACCCAGAAGAAATAAGTATATCTTTAGATCAGACTACTATACCAGATGGTAGACCTAGTACTGATCATATTGCAATTTCCTTATCTGATATGACACCTTCTATCTTAGAATCTGAAGAAACTAAACCCAAGGGGCTAATTGCTGACACTATTTCCACTGACTTATCTATATCTGAAAAGGACTCAGTGAAGAAAGCCAAGAAGGAAACTGGGAATGGAATTATTCTGGAAGTTTTGGAAGCTTACAGAGATAAAAGGAAGGATTCTGAGGCTGAACTAGCTAAAACTAGCTTATCTGAAACCGTGTTTGATCAGCCACCTTCTGGAATAGCCTTTCCAATGAAGGAGCAAGTTTCAACTGCATGCTTTGTATCTGGAGAGATCTTTGGTCAAGCAAAACCTGCATCTCAGTTACCATCTGGCGGTCCTTCTGTTTCCTCTCTTCCAACTAAAACACACCCATTCCTACGAAGTTCTTCTTTGGACACATCAGCTCAACCTCCTCCTCCTCCTCCACCTCCACCTCCACCTCCTCCTCCTCCCCCTCCTCCTCCTCCTCCACCACTTCCTCCACCAACCTCACCTAAACCTGCTATTCATCCTAAGAAAAAGTTAACAGTTCCAGTTCCAGTGACTCTAACTATGACAGCTGCATCTCTGGTTGACACTGTTACTACTATAGAGACCACAGCTGTTCCAAGGAGTAATGGATTACCTATAACAAAAATTTGTACCACTGCACCTCCTCCAGTTCCTCCTAAGCCATCTTCCATTCCATCTAGACTTGTATTTACCCACAGACCTGAGCCAAGCAAACCTCCCATTGCCCCTAAACCCCCCATTACTCAGCATCCAGGAACTACACAAAAACCAACAGATACACACCCCAGACCAACAGGATTATCTTCAAATATGACATTAAATTTAGTCACTACAGCAGATTATAAATTGCCTTCCCCTACCTCCCCACTTTCTCCTCACTCTAATAAGTCCTCACCAAGATTTTCCCTCATGGAAACTTACGTGGTTATCACGTTGCCATCTGAACCTGGGACTCCAACAGACTCTTCTAGTCAAGCAATTACCAGTTGGCCCCTGGGATCACCTCTCAAGCATACAATTGCCACTGAACCTGTATTTTCTGTAGTTCCTCCTGTGACAGCTGCAGAAATGTCATATTCATCAGAACGGAGCCTGTACATCTCAGGGGCTTTGGAGACATTTTCTGCTATCCCTGTCACAACACTATCTTCATGTCAAGCAGCCCCAATTTCAGTTACACAGTTTCCTACAACTGAAGTTTCTAAGGCTGAGATTTCAGCAACCAGAAGTACAGTCCCTAGTGTTGGTCTCAGCAGTGTCTCTGTACCAATTCCTCCGGAGCCTCTTGCTTTAGATACCCTACATTTAGAAAAGCATCAGCATAAAGAAAATGGAAAGTTGCAACTTACCGGTGATGCCATCGATTTGCGTACAGCACCAAAAGTAGAAGTGAAAGTGACTGAAAAATGTATGGATCTTTCTGCTTCTGCAATGGATGTGAAAAGACAGACCACAACAAAAGAAGCCTATGGGAGACAAATCAGTGCTGTCCAACCCTCCATTATAAATCTAAGTGCAACTTCATCAGTAGTGACTCCGATATCCCTGGTCTCTGAGGCAGTGACTGCTGTCACGTGCACAGCTAGTGCAAGTTACACTGCAGGCACAGAAAGCCTAGTGAGCATAGAACATGCAACAGCAACCCCACTTCAGCTCACTACATCAAAGCATACTGAGCCCCCTTACAGGATACCAAGTGGCCAGTCCTTCCCTACAGTTAAGCAGGAAGCACCAATAAACTTATCTTTAAGCACTTCAGCACAGGCAATGACACTGGCTACTACTATGCCTATTACTGTGCCTCCTGTTGGTGTCACAAATGGATGGACTGATAGCACCACATCCCAGGGCATCACTGATGGAGAGGCAGTGGATCTCAGTACAACAAAGTCTCATAGAACTGTTGTAACAGTGGATGAATCTACTTCAAGTGTGGTGACCAAAATAATAGAGGATGATGAAAAACCTGTTGATCTGACTGCAGGGAGAAGAGCTGTGTGCTGTGATGTAGTTTATAAGTTACCTTTTGGAAGGAGCTGCACAGCACAGCAGCCTGCAACTACTCTTCCTGAGGATCGGTTTGGTTATAGGGATGACCACTATCAGTATGACCGATCAGGGCCATATGGTTACAGAGGGGTTGGGGGAATGAAGCCTTCCATGTCTGACACTAATTTAGCAGAAGCTGGACATTTTTTCTATAAAAGTAAGAATGCTTTTGGTTATTCAGGAGAAACTGATGCAGCAGTAGATCTAACTTCAGGGAGAAGTTCTACAGGTCAGTATGATGTCGCTGCAGACCTTTCCTTGAAATATCATTATGGTGTTCCTCATCTCATTTCAGGATGAAAATGTGGCCCCTTTTTTCATTTTGTTACTTTTTCTCTTTCTTTGAATATTTTGGCAACATATTTTGGAGTACATGTGCGCTTTTATTTCTTCATTTTTTAAATTTATTCTGCCCAAAGTCGCCTGCATGTGCCTGCATGTTCAACATTGCTTTTCTTCGGCATCTAATTAGGTTAACCAGTGAATTTGCATGTGGTTCCATTCATTATGTTCATCAAGATTGAGAGCTCTTTCAAATCCCCAAAGCATCATTCATTCTTGGAACTGGACTATAACTCTACCCTGTATTTCAGGTGAGGTAATGGATTACTCAAGCAAGACTGCAGGTCCATATCCAGAAACACGTCAAGTCATTTCAGGAATTGGGATTAGTACCCCACAGTATTCCACAGCGAGAATGACTCCACCTCCAGGATCCCAGTATGGTGTGGGGAGTGTTTTGAGGTCAACTAATGATGTTGTCTATTCTTCAGAGGCAACTCCAGTGCCCTCCACATTTGCTATCACCACACAACCTGGCTCCATTTTCAGCACCACTGTGAGGGATCTGTCTGGTGTGCACACAACTGATGGAGTAACTTCATTATCCACCCTGCACCAGAGCCAGCCAATGCCTAGATCATATTTCCTCACAACAGGTGCATCTGAAACAGACATTGTAGTAACTGGTATTGATATCAATGCCAGTCTGCAAACGATTGCTATGGAAACTCTCACCACTGAGACAATAGACTCAGTTCCCACGTTAACCACAGCATCTGAAGTGTTTTCTGAAGTGGCGGGAGATGAAAGTGCTCTTTTAACTGTCCCTGAAGAAGATAAACAACAACAGCAGCTAGACTTAGAGCGTGAGCTCTTGGAGCTGGAGAAAATTAAGCAGCAGCGTTTTGCTGAGGAATTGGAGTGGGAGCGTCAGGAAATCCAAAGGTTCCGAGAACAGGAAAAGATGATGGTTCAAAAAAAGCTGGAGGAGCTGCAGTCTATGAAGCAGCACCTTCTCTATCAGCAGGAAGAAGAGCGTCAAGCCCAGTTCATGATGAGGCAGGAGACGTTAGCTCAGCAACAGTTACAGCTGGAGCAGATCCAACAGCTGCAGCAAAAGCTTCACCAGCAGCTAGAGGAGCAGAAGATTCGCCAGATCTACCAGTATAACTATGATCCCTCTGGAACTGCCTCTCCACAAACCACGACAGAGCAGGGGATGTTGGAAGGGCAGTATGCTGCCCCAGAAGGCGGTCAGTTTTGGGCGGCTGAGGATGCAACCACCACAGCCTCAGCCGTTGTGGCGATTGAAATCCCACAAAGCCAAGGATGGTACACAGTTCAGTCTGATGGTGTTACTCAGTACATTGCCCCACCCGGCATTCTGAGTACAGTTTCAGAAATACCTTTAACAGACGTTGTTGTAAAAGATGAAAAACAACCCAAAAAGAGAAGTTCTGGAGCTAAAGCCCGTGGACAGTATGATGAGATAGGGGAAAATATGGCAGAGGACCCCCGCTGTTTTAAAAAAATAGTAGACAGTGGTGTACAAACTGATGATGAAGATGCAGCAGATCGGAGTTATGCAAGTAGGAGAAGGAAAACTAAAAAGAGTGTTGATACAAGTGTCCAAACTGATGATGAAGATCAGGATGAATGGGACATGCCTACTAGATCAAGGAGAAAAACTCGTGTAGCAAAGTATGGTGATGGCACTACAGAGGCTGAGAAGACCAAACCCCTTTCCAAAGTCTCCAGCATAGGAGTTCAGACAGTGGCAGAGATATCTGTGCAAACTGAACCAGTGGGAACCATACGAACACCTTCGATACGGGCGCACGTGGATGCCAAGGTAGAAATAATTAAACACATTTCAGCACCTGAAAAGACTTACAAAGGGGGCAGTTTAGGATGTCAAACAGAAGCAGATTCAGAAACACAAAGTCCTCAATATTTGAGTGCCACATCTCCACCCAAAGACAAGAAACGCCCAACACCTTTAGAGATTGGTTATTCATCTCACCTTCGGCCAGATTCCACACTACAGCTGGCTCCTTCCCCACCCAAATCTCCAAAAGTCCTTTATTCACCCATCTCACCACTTTCACCAGGCAAAGCCTTAGAATCAGCCTTTGTACCTTATGAAAAACCCCTCCCTGATGATATAAGCCCACAGAAAGTACTGCATCCAGACATGGCTAAAGTTCCCCCAGCGAGTCCTAAGACAGCCAAGATGATGCAGCGGTCCATGTCTGACCCCAAGCCTCTGAGTCCAACAGCAGACGAAAGTTCCAGGGCTCCTTTTCAGTATACCGAGGGCTACACGGTAAGAGTGATTCTTTTCAGTTAGAAGACAATGGATGAGTTGATGCTAACCATGTGTTTGCGGACTTTAGGAAGCCCTAAAGCCCCTGGTACCTTGGGAACCTAATACACAGTTTCAGTGAGTATCATTTCATTAGTGATTTGAGGAAAAAATAGAAATGTATACATTCCCACAAAAAGAAATATACTATTTTGTGAGGCAAGATGAGAAAGAAGTTTATTATTTTATGACAATGAGACGGAAAGTTTTGTTCTCATCTTGAAATCTCCCAAGCATTCATTGTAGACTGTGATTTCAGTGAATATAATTAACATTCACGGTTTGAACATATGACATAAACAAATAAGACAAAGGATGGCCATAAATTTCGACCCATGGATATTGGAATTTTTAGTGGGAACATCTTTGGAAATTATCTAGTTAGTCTCTTCTTCCTAAGCCAGAATGTTTTCATAAAAGCAACCCAAAAAGAGAAGTTCTGGAGCTAAAGTCCATTGACAGTACGATGAGATAGGGGAAAATATGGCAGAGGATCCCCACTGTTATAAAAATAGAGTAGACAGTGGTGTGCAAACTGATGATGAAGATTCAGCAGATTGGAGTTGAGCAAGTAGGAAAAGGAAAACTGAAAAGAGTGTTGGTACAGGTGTCCAAACTGATAACTAGGACATTTATTGCTCAAAAGAGAACATTTCTAGGGCAGGCTGATGAAATTGTAATGTAATGTTCATAGTTCATCCACACTTACTTTGTTTCTGGCAACCAGTTTAATATAATCTCAGGTAAGCTTTAGTCCTGGTGCTTATAAAAGCAAAAAGATGTATGTTTCTTTGAATAATAGATATTAATAATTACTAATTATTTAGAAATATATAGGTATGCTTCAAAGGGAAAAGAACATATATAAATATTTGGGATGCATTTGTGAAGATCTCAATAGCTAATAATAAGAAACGTTTATAATCAGCAATAAAAGCAGACATATCCTACTTAAAATCTAATATATATTTCTTTAAAAGGTTATTGATAAATATGATAATTCAGTTTAAAAGTTGCCCTTAGTGCACTGGCCTTGTTGATAATCCAAACTGATATCTCCTTTGCTTAAAATGTCACTCCCACTTTATTTTTATGTAGACATCTGAAATACTGAACACCAGTTGAACTAAATTTAGCTAAGACATGAGGAACTAAGCCCAGAATAGTCTATTGACTTTATAATAGTTCCTTAATATAGTGAAAACCTGGCCAGAATTAGAATATTAAACTCTGCACTTTACAGTCTTACCCGTATTTGTCTCTTCTGATACTTACTGAATGTTTTTAATATTCTTTTACTAATTCAATATCGTGCTTGGTGTCTGTCTTTTAGTCTTGTCATTAACTCTGCTCTTTCTAAAATTCCAGTTTAAATTCCTCTTAATTCAGTTTATTCATTTTAAAATTTATTCTTGTTTGTATTCAGTCATTATCTCATTCATTCATTGCTCTTTTTCCAGACACTCTGGAAAACTAAAAATAAAGGATGAACCAGAGAGGCAGCGGTCGGTCACGTCTAATCTCCTACCGCTGAGATAATTTTGTTCTTCTTGCCTATGTATTGTATTAGTTTGCCAAGGCTCTCATAACAAAGTATCATGGGCTGCTGACTTGAACAACAGAAGTTTGTCACAGTTTTAGAGTCTAAATGTCCAAAAGCAAGGGGTCGGTTGGGTTGATTCATTCTGGGGGCTGTTACACGGCTCTCTCCTAGCTTCTGCTAGCTTCTAGCATTCCTTGTCTCGTAGGTGATGTTCTCCCTGTATCTCTTCACATTGTATTCCCTCTCTGTGTGTCACTCTTTGTGTTAAATTTCCCCCCTTTATAAGGACAGCAGTCCTACTGACTAGGTCCCACACTAATGACCTTGATTTAAATTGATTACCTTTGTAAATTCTCTGTTTCTAAGTAGTTTCACATTCTGAGGTATTAGGGACTAGGGCTACAACATATATTTTTGGGGGGTGGGAGGGAGGAAAGCACAATTCAAGCCATAGCACACATGAAAGCACTATGCTTTTTGTTTGTTCACAAGCAAATGTTGACTGTTTTTCAGGTGTTTTTTTTTCTCTCCTCTTTCCCTACACAATTTTTTTTTTCTTAGTGACGATTTCACAGCTTTATTGGAAAGCTTTATTATTTTTTCATTGTGGGTAAAATCCCCCTTCCTGGGGTTTCAGAACATTTGTGTTAGTTGTGCAACCTGGGACATCAGAGGTTTAAATTGTATTCTATTCCCATTCAACTCTGTGGCATAAGAAACTTTTAACTCTAATATGGTTTTATCATGATAGACTTGTGGTCGCATCTTTACACAGAAGTTCCAAGGCAGGAGCATATATTGTCTAGTTGGTGTTCCACTGGCATTTGAGCTCTGGCAAACCAAGATATCATATACATTTGATTGATTAAAATTAGCATTAACATAAAATTATAAAATATTAGACACAATGGGCTTCACTAGAGCGGAGCGTTATCTCAGACCATTTTATTGAATTATGTAATAATTCCTCAATATCTGAAAGAGGTGAGTGCTATCCCTTTTCTAGACCCCTTCAGCCTGGTATTAAAATCACAGCCCCATAGCCAAATTCTATTTTTTTACATTTATGTAACCAAACAGGTCTGGTAACCTTCCTTTTACAAATAAAAATTTTTAACTCTGAGTAAAGATGGAAAAAATTACCACCTTTTCTCTTAAGTCCTATAGTTTGCTCCCTGGGAAAATTCCCAACAGGTACAGCTAAACCAAAATCAGAATTTATTCCTTCCCATAGTTAAACTTGCTACTTAGCTATGATTGATAGTAATGTGTTTTCATTATGATTTAGAAAAATCACAGGAATCAGTATGGTTTCAAATGAAAGGTAGTATGTAAACTTTTATCAGTAGAACTCTTTTTTTCAAATGAAATGTTTTATGGAAGCCAAGGAGTTAAAAAGGGGTGGAAACGAGTGTAGAGTGATCAAATACCTATCTATAATGATTAGACGAAGTAACATTTATAACCCTCCATCTACTAAGTCTGGCAATTGTATCCAATAAATTTGGTTCCCTTTCCTCTGATTGGCATGTGGCCATATTTGTATGTCCTCAACAGAAATTTGTCAACTCTCATTAAAGAGCTTTATTTTAAGAGTCAGTAGAAATAACTCTCAAATCTCCTACTAACTGTGTGCCTTTCATATTCGGTGGGTATATAATGCTGCTTCTCCAGAAATTTCAGATTCCTATTCTCTATAACCATTTTTAATTTACTCTTTTGCATCATGAGGCCTTCCTTAACTCTCCAGTTGAAAACCACCATCCTTTTTAACACTCTGTCATTATGCTCTTCTTGATTTGCCTGCATTATGACATATCATCATCAAAAATATTGTTTGTTCCTTTGCAAATTTATTTGTCTTTCTTTTCCCACTAGAATTTATGGGTGAGAGTTTTTTTAAAATGTATTTTATTGATTTTTTACAGAGAGGAAGGGAGAGGAATAGAGAGTTAGAAACATCAATGAGAGAGAAACATCCATCAGCTGCCTCCTACACACCACCTACTAGGGATGTACCCGCAACCTAGGTACGTGCCCTTGACCGGAATCAAACTCTGGACCCTTCAGTCTGCAGGTTGACGCTCTGTTCACTGAGCCAAACCGGTTAGGGCAAGGGTTTTTGGTTTTTATGTTCTCTGTTATATCCCCTGTGCCTAGGAAGATGCTTGATTCATAGCTAGGTTCTCCATAACAATAAATTAATGTGATAAATTAGTGAGTGAATGGACCTCTTTACCCATCAAACTGCTTGTCACTCCCACATATAATAAAAATAAAAGCAAAGCAAATAACATCCTATTCATCCTCGCACTGCACTTTTTGTGTACTTCTGTTGCAGTTGTTTCCCTTTGCTCTCTCCTCTGTGTTTTTCTTCCATTTGCTAAATGAGTGACGCTTCATTTTCTCAAATTTATTTCAATCCAGTATTTATGTATGTATCTGTGGATTAGCTCTAGCATCACATCTGTAGAATTTTTATAAACTAGAGCACAAAATGTGTTTCTTATGCCCTTTCTCTTTCTTCTACACAATGAAACTGATTATATCATTAACCTCAGAAGATCAATGACTTGAAGAAGGAAGGTTAATAATATAGCATGTTCTTAACAAAATCAGAGGAGAAAGTGACGTTATCCATTGGGAGAAACAGCAGTGTGAATTTAGATAATTTGAAGCTTGAAGGGATCTAATTCATTCCAAGATTTCTCTGTCTTAAAAAAATAATATTTTTGAATGATTTCTCTGTTTTAAAAAGCATATATTTCATAAATAGCACATATTTTGTCTATGACACACACCACTTTTTTGTACTAAAATGAGCTGCATTTCAAATGTTATCACCTTTACAAGGTCTTAAAAATACATAGACTGTTAAGTGTTAAGCTGATTTGTCCGTCTCTTAGACTTAATGTACAGGTTTAGTGCTTTTTTAGTTATTGGCAAATTCCTTATTAAAAAATATTTTATTCTAGAGTTTAAATCAGAATTCTATTGCTAAGCAGTTAGAATTCATGAGGTGATTTTTACAAGAATATTTTGCTTCACTGATTATTGTTTTGATAGCTATTTTTAATATTTTTGGAACCATTTCATGTCTGTTTCTAAGAGTAATTTCCATAACCTAAATCAAGAAGTTTTATTTCTGTCAATTTTATTTCTGTCAGAATGTACAGTTTAAGAATAATTACTATGATGTCCAAGTGTGATTTGAAGAAAAATATTTATTAGGTATTATTTTTCATTACTATCTTTGAAAATCAGTGTAAGAAATCATTCTATTAAAACTGATTATGATGAAAACACCTGTTTATAATGGTGGTATTTACGTATGTCAGAAAGACTAATGATTATGGTCTAAAAATTTGTGAAAGCTTGAGGTATAAGGTACATAGTGGCATAGTCTAATAGTTGCTAG